AATACCTGGGAGATCAGGGCTGTCAGCCTAGGATGAGGGGACAGCGGCAGAGATGAGAATAAGGTCCTTAGCCATTGAAAAGTCTTTGGCTTTTGCTCTGATTGCTTGCAAAATAGGTGCGAATATAGGTGTGGCATGACTTGAGAAAGAAGGAAAGAGTCGGGCACCTTCTTCCCTCCTACTTGTCACTGTCCCAAATACAAAATCTCTACTAATTGTGTCTGCACAGAAATAGCAAACAAACCAAGTGAGGCTGTAGGAACCCTGAGCACTTGAAGTGGATAAAGGGCTGTGACGAGACAGAGGCAGGATGGTCTTAGTCATTGGAAGTCTTGTTTTTCAGAGGCTTTTCGGAATTTTACATAGCTCTTTGGCTTGTGAAAACCGAGCCCTTTCTTCTTGTATGTTAAGAGTGTTCTATTTTCTTGGCAAAGGCTCTGCTTTATTCTGATCAGTAGATTACTGCATTCAGTAAAAGCCTTCCCTGCTTCCTTAAAATTAACTACAATCTTTGAAATTGGAGATTGGAATTTTTCTTATCTAAAAAGTCCTGAAATATTCAAGACTTTGAATTGGATTGCATTTGTGCACTGGTGCTTTGCTGGATAGTCTTGCCTGCATAATACAGAAAAGAACTTTTCTTCCCTGGAAAACCCAACTTTCTTATAATGACGGTGTTTAACCACTGTTTTTTGTAACTACAGGTAACCTGTTTTTCCTTATGGTAAAGACGGCACCTGGCTGATGAGCAGCGTGGTGAGGCCACCGAGTGAGGCAGAGGCACAGACCTGGGACTCAGAGGATGATGACATGGCAGAAGGCGATTTAGGGTATGGCCTTGGAAGAAGGCCCGGCGGTATTTATGAAGTACAAGTTTCACATTTATTTACATCTAGAAAAAGGTCAGATGACAGGAACTTTAGCCCTCCCCCATTTCCAGGAAAGGGGGAAGAAAGAAGTGGTGCCATTTTTCAGTACTCCAGACATAAGAGCTTGCAAGATACGTACCCTGAAGGGTCCAGAATTCTCCATCACAGACGACAAAGTAACTCTGGTAAGATGCCTAGTGTCCTCTCCCTCCTTCTCCCCTGTGAATTTGATCAGTGCTTTCAACGCATGAAAATAGGCCGCCAGAGTGGATTTTTAGAAATTTATCTTTATTTACATTGTGGGATTGTAATTAATGTTTTTATTTCCAAGCATTGTCCAAACCGTGAAGTACACTAGTTATTCTGCATTAATACATATATGTTAGTGATCTCAGTAAATGATTACCTATCTTGCTTTTTTTATGGTGTAGTGATATACTTTACTCTTTTTATTTTTCTTATTCAACAAATATTTATTGGATACCTGTCAGGAGCCTAGGACAGCTCCAAGCTCTGGGAATAACATCAGTGAACAAAATAGTGAAAGCCCCTAATGTCATGGAGTTCACATTCTAGTAGAGGAGACAGAAAATAAACCTACCAATGAGCAGCTAAGTAACATCAGGCAGTGGTGAGTGAAGGCATAGTGAGTGATTGGAGGAGCTGGGTCACTGCCATTTTAGGCAAGAGTCAGGGGAGGCCTGTCTAAGGAGATGACATTTGGGCGCCGCAAGATGGGTGCTTATCTGGGGAAGGAGTGTTACCGGCAGAACATGTATGCTTCTGGTTATTTTAAGGATATCATGAAATTTTCAAATATTATCACAACAAAATTATTTTAAATTTGTCATTTAAATAAGTTATGCCATACATTAAGAATGAAATTCAGAATCCTATTATGATAGAATGACACAACTCCAAAATGATTGGGAGCCCGTGGATGAGACCATGCCTCCTCTGTGGCATAGCTCTTGTGTGGCTGAATTGTTAGTAACGCACATTGTAAAACTTCTCCACCAAAGCAGAACAAACACAAATTGGAACAACACAAAAATAATTTAAGAAACACGTTTCAGATTTACAAATGTTATGTTGCAGCTGAGATCTATCCCCATCCCTCAAAATCCTTCTTGAAATTAGGATGGGATTATTGATTATATATTTTTCTTTCAGTTCTTTATCATGCATAGAGAATAGATACTGTTTTGCAAGAAAGATGTTGAAAACTGAATATGATGCTAAGATGCCTTTGTAAAAACATGAGGAAACCGCTGGGATAGAAACAAGATGTAATAGTAATAGTATGAGTTCCTGTTTTGTTGGGTTATGGACTTTTGTCTTTCTGTCAAAGTTGACCTGATCCTAGGTAAGAATATTGTGTTGGTTTTCTTTTGTTAATAGGCAGTTTCCAAATTACCAGAAATTTAATGATTTAAAACAACACAAATTTATGGTCTTACAGTTCTGTAGGTCAAAAGTCCAAAATAGATTTCACTGGGCTAAAATTAATGTGTCAAAAAGGCTGCATTCCTTCTGTGGGCTCTAGGAGAGAATCCATTCCCTTGCCTTTTCCAGCTTCCAGATGCCACCTGTATTCCTTGGCCCATGGTCCCCATTCCTCCATCTTCAAAGCCAGCAATGGCTAGTCGAGTCTTTCTTATTCTCCATTACTCTGACACTGACTCTCCTGCCTTCCTTTTTCATTTATAAGGACCCTTGTGACTACATTGGGTCATCCAGGATAATCTCCCATCTCCAAATACTTAATTTAATCACATCCGCAAAGTCCCTTTTGCCATGAATTCACAGGTTATGAGGATTAAGGTATGGGTATCTTTGGGGGCCATTATTCTGCCTACCACAAGTATTAATAAAATAGAACTTGTCATTGTCAACCCAATGTCACATTTGAACCTCTTTGGAAGAGTATATCAATGATTTAAGTTTTCCCTTGGATACTGTTATGTTAATGAAAGTTCAGAATAATGAAGAAAAAAACTGTTTTGAGAAAATTTTAATATCCCTCAAAATATTCTTTCTAAACTATTTTTTTCTTTTACTTCTTTTCTCCTTGCTTTTGGTTACCACTTTAATGCTTTTCTATTGCCAGTGGGATCAAATGAAAATGAAGCTTCTTGAAAGCCCAGTTTAATGTTTCAATTGATCACATTAAGGATAGAAAAAACTGAAGTTACTAAAGACTTCTAGTCATTCTCTTTGGAAAGAAATTAAATTCAGGTTATTTCTTAGCTATTCATATTGCTGTATTGATCGAACTTAAACCAAACACCAAAATTTATTTCACTCTCAACATTCATATTTTTTTATATTGTGTGTGGACAAAAAAAGGGCCACATATAAATCTGACAAGCTCAAGGGAGGCCTGCATGGTGGACCTTACAAACTCAGAGACCAAAAGTAACCACACAGGATGGTCTGAACATAAAAATTCCTAACTGAAAGTGGTTCACATCCTAGACCTGTAGCTTCCTAGACCTGTAGCTTCCTTGACAAAGGTCAGTCTTTATTTACCCTAGGTGAGCCTATCTTTTTACATCTAAGATAACAAACCTTTGAAATGTCAGAGCAATATCCTATTCCAGACCGCTGGGGGCACAACCGCCAGCACCAGAGCATAGACCACAGAACTTTCATTGTTGCCTTGTTCCCCGCCTAACCACCTATAAATGTTAATTATCTTGTACCCACCAATGTAAAAGAAGCATGTATCTCTCCATCTTACTTTTTATTTAATCCCAGGGATTTCCCTGCTTTGCTCTCTCCCATCCCCTTAACCTACCACCAATGGATTTCGGTAATCCTCCTCAAGTCTCCTCCTTTTATTTTAATGTATAAAATAAGCTGCAAAATTCTGCCATTCTCCAGAGCATTTTCTCCATTGAGATTTTGCTTCCTGGCAATTGTCGGTTTGGCTCAAATAAACTCATAAACATTCTCTGCAGGTTTAGATGTTTCTTATGTCGACATGTGTTTGTATGTAGTAACTAACCAATTTGTTATTTTAGAGTCCTTTTTATTCAAAAGTGTGTGTCTTTTCAATTGTGAAATGTTTTAAGGCAGCTATTTTTATCATTATCTGATTTATTATAATTCTTTTCTCTTTGCAATGAATCCTGTACTTGATATTTTATAAACAAATGTCCTATATTTAACTAGTTAAAATGTTTTTTTCCTCTAATAGATTCTAATTCCGAATTGTCAAATGTAGAATTAAAGCAGCGTCTTGATGAAACATTAGAGGTAGGTACTCTGGCTTATATAAAAATTCTCATGTGAATAAAATCTACTGATAAGAGATTTTGTTTAAGTAGTACTAAAATTGGATGGAAGACAGATGTTGGCTTTCCAGATATTTTTGATGAGCCACAGTATAAAACTCATACCTTTCAACTGGCCTCTTCAGTTTATCTTCCTCATTTCTCAGAAAGGCTTTTAAAAGCCCTCCAGTTCTCCTTTCGCCCCTAATCTTCTACTACTACTTTAATCTCCCGGAGAAAATAGTTATTTCCTTCCATCTGTCTTCCCTGTGTGTGGCTTGAAATAACCTCTCTGAAGTTAGAAGATCAGAAAGTATCCCAAGTGGTCTGAGGAGGCCACCCAGCCTGCTGGGAGTAGGCATTTCTGTGAGGGCTGCCTATCCTGTGGGAAACAGGAAGCGCATTCTAATGTGTGTTTGTGACTCTTGTGAAAGCTGAAGTTTTAGTTTCCTAGGACTGCTGTAACAAAGTACTGCATACTAGAGATTTAAAACAACAGAGATTTAGTCTCTCAGTTCTGGAGGCTAGAAGTCCAAAATCAAGGTGTCGATTGCCCATATTCCTTCTGAGAGGTCTAGAGCAGAACCCTTCTTTGCCTCTTCCTAGCTTCCGGTGGTTGCCCCAACAGTCTTTGGCATTCCTTAGCTTGTAACTGCATCACTCCAGTCTGTTGTCACATGGCCTTCTCTAGTGTGTGTCCAAGTTTTTCTCGTCTTATAAGGACACCAGTCATTGGATTGGGGCTTACCCTAATCCATTCTGACCTCATTTTAACTTGATTATATCCACAAAGACCCTATTTCCAAATAGGGCCACATTCACAATACCAGGAGTTAAGACTTGAACACTTCTTTTGGGGAGGACACAGTTTACCCCTTAATAGCTACTGTAGTAGCTGTGTGAATGATCATGTGCTTATTTTATGTGGCCTAAAGATTTTTTTTTTTTTTTTTTTCAGATTCTTAGCTGTGTGGCCTAGATGGGTAAAAACTAAAGATTTGGGCTTTGAGTTAAAATTGGCACCTGATAATGAGGCTCTAGATTTTGGTCTGTCTGGTCCATTGTTAAAGCCTGAGGAATTTCCATCTTCATTTATAAGGTCACAGTGCTTTGAGTCAAAGTGCACGTTAAGCTTAAATGTAGACTACCTAAACTGTTCATTTTGGGTTGCATATCTTGCAGATAGGAAGACGAATTTTATTTCTCTTCTCAGGAGGTAGAAATTTTAAAAACTGAACTTGAGGCATCTCAAAGACAACTTGAAGGCAAAGAGGAAGCACTGAAAATTCTTCAAAGCATGGTAAGAAGTTATTTTTAAACTTTCATCATTTTCACAGTATACTAACTAGGTGCTGTGGTTTTAGCTTTTAAAACAAAAGCAGCAGTGCTTAATATAATTTTTTTTGAGGTCTAGATTTTTTAAACAATTTTATTGATGTATAATTTACATGTCATGAATTTCACACATTTTAAGCATACAATTCATTCTTACTACACTATCACCACAATCTAATTTTTGCACACTTTTAGCACCCCCAAAAGGAACCTTGGACACATTAGACTCTCCATTCCCATCTCCAATCCCAGACAATCATTAATCTATTTTCTTGTAGATTTGCCTTTTGTATTTCATATAAATAGAATCATACATTATGTGTCCGGATTCTTTCTTATCTGGATTCTTTCAGTCAGCATGGTTTTGAGGTTCATGAATGGTGTAGTATGTGTATTTTTTTCCTTTTTATTGTCAAATAATATTCCATTGTATAGGTATGGCACATTTTGTATATACATTCACTGGTTGACGGGCACTTTTTGGTTATTATGAATACTACTACTATGAATGTTTGTGTACAAATCTTTGTGTGGAAAATTCTTTCATTTATTCTCATATATATTGAGGAAGAGCCAAACCAAGATTTTCTGACTTTTGAACTATCAAACACTCCACAAAGAGGTGGTCTCTGTGGAAATTCTCATCTCGAATTTTCTGTTGTCTTAAAATAAAAACGTGAACATCATGCATGTAAGAATGATTAGAAATTTAATTTATACTGATATTTTTTCCCTTAGGCAATATTTGGCAAAGCCACAAGTCATACCCAGGCAGTTCTTCAAAAAACTGTGGAACAAAAGAGATCCTTGGAGAAGGTATGTGTTTTTAGCGTAGACTTGTTCAATCTAATAAGCTTTCAAATAAAATTTCCTTAAAAGTCACCATGCTAATGGATATGTGATTTATGTATACACTCTGCTGGGTGTGCTTCAACTTTATATGGTCCCTCCCTTTTTGGAGTTTATAATCCAAAACAGATTGTCAAACGTGTAAAGAATTAAGGTTTCTTTTATTTTCTATTTTAAGGTAGTAGAAGGCCTGCCAAATTGATGCTTCCTATTTTTCTTCTTTTTCTTTTTCTCTGCTTGCAGAGCCTGCCTCTTTCTGACCACCTCATCTTCACTAGAAAAGCATTTAGGAATCACTTTCAGAGTTTGTTCCTGTGCCTGTTGTACCCTCCCTTGATGGGACTGCCCTGGGCTCAGACCTCCAGGAGTATATTTTGCTCGTGGAGTCTGCGTGGGCTGGGGGCAGGGATGATGAGAAATCTAGGTTCAGATCCCAAATTTTTAAGCTAAACAATTTGAAATTTCTCCTATAGTAAGCAAGCTTTGGCAAAGCTCTTTTGACCGCTAACAATACATGTTATATGTATTTACAAATGTGATAAAACTCTTTTCGAGTAATAGTTTTTTTCTCTTTAATGTATTTCTGTGAAATGATTAAATGATGTATTTCAGCTATTCACAATGTCCTGAAGTGATTTACTTGTAAAATTTTCCATGGAAGTACTATTTTCTTTCTATAGGAAATAAATGCCTTGCAGTGGGAAATAGAATTTGATCATAATAGATTTAAAAATATAGAAGAATCTTGGACCCAAAAATATGACAGGTTTGTATATTATTATTCCATAGTTTTTCCTTGGAAATCTTTAAAGTGCATGTAATTCAAATGTAGTTTAGGTTTTCTTCTTCTTTGAGCTAACTGTAAATATAAATTATTGCTTATCCACCTGGCCAGCTCCATATTTTTCTGTTAGTGTTTTCTTTAAAAAAAAAAAAATATATATATATAGTACAAACTGTATTTTCAAATACAGTGTAAGAGCCATGTTTTCCAAGTTATTTTAGCACTGGCACTATTTTTTTCAAACAAAATCTTTTGAGCAGCTCTTTTATTGGAGTGAATTTAATATATTTAAATTACAACATACACTTTTTATAAGGTCAGGCATTGAGGAATTGATTCGATATCTGGGGTTATAGATGGCTTTAGTATCTAATCTTTTATTATTTAACTTTTGAGATAACTTAAGATTTATAGAAAACTTATACGAACAGTACAAATAATTCTTGTGTATCTTTCACCAAGATTCTCCAAATTTGAAGTCTTTACCATATTTGCTTTATTATTCTTTCTTTCTTTCTCTTTGTAGTTAAATATGTAGATATAGACATAATGTTTTTCTGAACCATGAGTAAGTTGCATATATAAGGCCCCATTACTAGAACTACTTCGGTTTCTATTTTTTCAAGGGGTATTCTCTTTTAAAACTGCAGCATAATTGTAAAAACCAATACTAATTTTTTAATCTATAGATCTTAGATTTGCCAATTATCCTAATAATGCCCTTATAGCAAAGAGAGAAAAAAAATTTCCCGTGTTCCAGGATCCAATACAGAATCACATGTTGCATTTGGTTATCATGTCTAAACTTTAGTCTCCTTTAATCTAAAACAATTCTTCAGTGTTTGTCTTTTATAAACTTTACCTTTTTTGAGGATAGACCAGTTATTTTATAGAATATCCCACAATGGGGATGTCTGATGTTTCTGGATTAAATTCGGGTTATGCGTTTTTGGCAGGATTACTACTAAGCAATGTTATATTCTTTGTGCATCATATAAGGATGCACGTGATGTTGGTTTGTCCCATTTCTAGGCTGTGATCTCGATCATTTAGTGTAGGTGTGGTATCTGCCCTCATTCTCCATGGTAGTCACAATTCTTCCCCTTGTAATTAATAAGCATCTTGTGGGGGAGATACTTTGAAATTATGTAAATATACTGTTACTCATCAGACTTTCACCCACCAGTTTTTACATCCACTGGTTATTCTGCCTGAAGCAATTATTACTGTGATGTCTGCCAAATGGCAATTTTTGAATTGTTATTCTTTCGACATTTATTTATTGGCATCTTACTGTAAGAAATTTTCTCATTGTTTATACAAATATGGACTCATGGATTCTTGTATTATGCAAGGAGTTAAAAGGGATTACTAACATAATTTCTTTCGATGCTTAAAATTTTCCAACTTCAGGGGGCCTGAAGAAATGGCTCCTCTGATGACAACACACCCAACAGGAATCCGGGGTCATTGTGACAAGGGGTACCAAACCTGTGGCCTTCTTATGAACAAACAACCTACATGTGTTCACCGCTGCCCCACTCCGCACTTCCCCATGGCTGCCGGGCAGGACCAATGGCCCAAGGCTTTGAAGGCCTCAGTATTGGAGGCAGAAACCCTGGGAGTGGGCAGTCCTCCTGCAGGAGCTGAGCTGTAGCATTGTGGCTGAGAAGGGGCCACGTGGGAGTCATTAGCATGAAAACAGGTCTACATGGCGGGAGGCAAAAGTTAAAAAAAATTTTTTTTCCAACTTTGGTCAATGGCAACTCCTTGAAACTGGCTTTAGTGGCCTTTTGACACCTTCCTATCATTCCTCGAGCGCTTTCTTGCTTTCTGGTACAAGATATTATAGGCTAGTATACCCACAATATTAGGCATTTCTTCAAGGAGCCCTGGATCCTTTCAGTGGGGAATGGTGTTTGGAAATCAAGATCTGAGTACTAGGTATGCTTATTGCTACTAGGGAGTCATTCCTAGAAGGTCCTCTCAGGGAACAACTGGAAAATACACATACCGACAAATACGTACACCTGTTTATCATATCGATCTGTTAAAAACCCGGAGTTGATATCCATACTTCCAATTTCAGGCTACCACCACAGGGTTCATTTTAGCCTTGCCTCTTTCCACATTTTTAACTCCCACAGTGAGAAACCTGGCTCCTATTACCCAATATATTTACTTATTTTTCCATTATAGTATATGCAGAGAGGGTAGCTTAAAAATTGCTATACGTACAATTTGCTATACGTACAATTTGCTATACATGTAAAATCAAACCTACTAATCAGAGTTTAATATTTGTTTATAGTTTTGTTTTTAGCCTGAGTGTATATGTTCAAAAATCATTTGGTTAGTTTCTTTTTTCTCTTTAGTATGGTTATGCTATTCATTTACGATAATTTACTTCTATTTGTGTTCTATTTTAGGATCTTTTCACCATCCTTGTTGATATATTTATCTTTGTAAAAGACTGACATGCTTCCAAAACTCAGAACTATTCAGAAAGATATATTCAGAGAAGTGTCATTCGCATCCCACGCCCTCTCTATTACTACCTTCTGCCATCCTTCCTTCCTCTCACTGTCCGCAGATAACCAATCTTGTTTTCTGATTTGTCCTTCCTGTGTTTCTCTTTGCATGAATGGGTAGATATATATATATGTTTTCTTATTTCCCATTCTTTCTTACACAAAGGGTAGTTTACATACTCTTTTGCACTGATTTTTCCATTTAATAACATATCTTAGAAATCACTCCATTGTGTGGATGTGCCATAGTGTACTCGACTGTTCTCCTATACATAGGCACTGAGCTTGATTCCAGTATTTTGTGATGATAAACAATGCTATAATGAATAACCTTGACATATATACTTTTGTGTTGTTGGAGATGTATTTTCAGGGTATGTTCTTAGAAGTAGAATTGTTGGGTCAGAAGGTAAATGCATACGTAGATTATTAGATGTTGCCAAATTCCTCTCTATAAGGCTTGTATCACTTTGCATTCCTATCAGCAGCACATGTGAGACTGCCTGTTTCCCCACAGCCTCATCAAGAGAATATATCACGTTTTAATTTTTTGGTAGTTTTGTTTACCTAATTTGGTTTTTTATCTTTTTTTGTATTTTTATTTTGACTGAACAGAACCCTGAAAATTCTGATTTACATACACAGATTTACACTTAGTTGAGAGACTGTCTTTTAGGATACTCTTCAATTAAGCAGAGCTGGCACAAGAGGCTTTATTATGTCTGCACAAAAATAGTTAACCAGATAGCAAAGTTAATGAATTTGACTGAGTTGGCTTTTAGAAAAATTAGTTTATGAAGTAATCTAAGTAATTTATAAAGAATTTAAGTGGATCTAATAAAACGTTTGTAAGCATCTGAACAATTTCCTCATAAACTTAATAAGAATTCATTTGGAAATTCAGAGACCTAGTCTTAAGAAGAGGGCGCATTAACAAAGGTGGTTTATTCCTCAAGGGCTACACGCCTTGCTTGAGAACCTAATTTCATATTTTATTAATTTGTTAAGTAATTCATAGAAACAGAATGCATTAGATTTACATTTCATTTTTAATTGGGAAGCTTTAACTTCATGACCGCTGTTTTAATGATCTGAGGCCAATTTTAAGCACAGCATAGAACATTTTGCACAAACACTGCTACAGATGTCTTGACAGGTATTTTACTTAGTCATAAATTGACTAGATAATCTAGCTACTGGTTTTAATTACAAAAAAAATTGTTTAAGCCTTCGATGCTGGGCAATTTAGGTACTCTTGTAAGTAATTTCAAGTTTTAGGCAATAGATAAAGCTCCCTATGTATCTTTTATGCAAGTTTTTAAAGGTGGCCTAAGTCTGACATATAGTTGGTAGTCAAATGGTTATTAAGTTGAATTAAAACTTTAGTAAAGAAAATGAGTATTCAAAAGAGATGTGTTATATAATTCTGGTTCTGATTCTTTCTCAACTAAGTATACAGAAGGGTTTAGAGTATGTGCAAAATCTTACCATACTCCTTTAAATTGTTTTTATTTTGTGACACATAAATTCTAGACTGTTCTAAAGTAGGAAAAATTATATTTAGGTTTTTGTGCTCTAGTTATGGGATAGAAATATTCTCACTTAAGTATAAAGTACAAATGTTTAGTTATTGGAGGGTACTTTTTTCCAGGCTAAACTGTGAAAATGCAGTCCTCAAAGAAACTTTGAAACTAAAAACAGAAGAAATTAAAATGCTGAAGTCTGAAAATGCAAGTAAGAGTGGTATTTTGATGGTTCTTTAAAAATTCTTTATGTTAAAAGATTTGTTTATATAGTGTCTTATGTTAAGAACACATATCAGTAGAGACAAAGTGCTAGTATTTCAAAGTAATATATTTTAAAGATAATAGAAGAAATGCATCAATTTAGGATTTTTTAGTTTAAAAAAAATCTGAGGTAAAATTCACATAAAATTAACCATTTAAAAGTGAACAATTCATAACATCTACAATGTTGTACAACTATTTAGTTCCATAACATTTCCATCATTCCAAAATAAAACTTCATACCTTTTAAGCAATTTCTCCTCATTCCTCCTTTACTTTTTAGTTTTTATACTCAGTTTAAAACAAAGTCATAAAGCACCTGATGTTTGAGGAACTTGAGTAGATATATATTTTATTGGGATACGAGTAGGAAAAGTTTATAATTATATGATTATTCAACATTATTTTCTTTCAAAAAAGTGTCTTCTGTGACTTTATCACCAATACAATTATTCTTAATTTTTCAAGATATATGACTGATTAAGAACTTGAATTTTTTACATACACAACTGACACTTGAACAATGCAGGGGTTAGAGACACCAACCCGTGCTGTCAGTATAACTTTTTTCACATATAGAGCGTAACATCACCTGTGAAGAGTAAACCCAAGTTCCTGTTGGATGTGTTGTAAACAGAACAGCCATTCTTCAGGTGCCCTGCTCTGATCACACCCCAAAATCCATATATAACTTTTGACTCCCTCAAAACTTAGGTAGTCCCTCCATATCTGTGAGGGATTGGTTCTAGAACCCTCCATGGATACTAAAATATGCAGATGCTCAAATCCCCCACATAAAATGGAATGGAACAATGCAAACAGCCCTCCATATTTGCGGACTCCCAACTGCGTATTGAAAAGAGTATTTTGATCCAAGGTTGGTTGAATCCACCGATGCAAAATCTAGGGGCAAGGAGGGCCAACTGTATTTATTGAAAAAAGTCCACGTATAAGTGAACCTATACAGTTCAAAGGGTCAGTTGTATGTGTGTGTACACATAGACAAAAACACACACTTCCCTTATATGATGAATCACCTTATGGCAAAAGTTAATGAAAGTATTAAAGTTATTTAAGATTAAGGTGGTACCAACTTTTTATAAAATTCTGAGATGTCGATTCTCCCTTCTGAGCAGAAACTATTTTAAATTGGTAGCTTGAAGGGGGCAAAATAAGCTCTAAGTCAGGTCATGGGCCCAAGAGAGGCACTTTTCATAGTGTAGTTCAGGGGTTCTCAACCCTGGGCCACAGAATGGTAGTAGTCCATGGCCTGTTAGGAACTGGGCTGGGCTGCATAGCAGGTGAGCAGTGGGTGAGTGAAGCTTCATCTGTATTTGTAGCCACTCTCCAGCACTAGCATCACCACCTCAGCTCCACCTCAGTTCATCAGGCATTAGATTCTGATAGGAGCATCGGTCCCTGGTGCCAAAAAGGTTGAGGACCACTGGTAGTTGTGGCAACGCACCTGAGTGAGAACTGCACACAGATGGTGCTTCTCAGTACCGGTGATTTGAGCAGATGGAGATTTTTCCTGTATTAGGTTAGTTCTCAGGACAGAAGCTGCTCAGAATCACAACCCCTCCCCTTCCTCCTTACCATTCCACCCTGCAACAAGAGGGAGAATGTTACTGTTTTCTGCACTCTCTAGTAGATAGTGGGACCCCTCTTGTTCTAAATGGTTTCAGATCTGCTTGTGAAAACTCTCAACAGAAAAATCTGATGGTTTGTATACTTGGTACTTTTGATATAATACATGAAATCTCATCACTGGTTGTCTTACTACCCACAAGTTCTCTGAACAATTTGTCTTTGTATGTTTTCTCTTTGAAAATCATATAAATTTTCCAAGAGAAAATGAAGACCAGACTTTGGTTGCAAAGTTACTTCCACATTAGAAACAATAACATTTTATCTAGTGTTAGATATGTACTTAATACCCACTATTCTATCAGATTTTCTGGGTGGGGCCAGATTTTGTGGGCGATGCCTGTTGTACATATGTGCTTGTAAGAAATGAGTATATGATATTGGTGTAACAAGATTACCTGAGGCCAGAGTTAGCCCCATAACTAACACTTATATGGCCCTTCCTAGGTTTGAATCAACAGTATTTGGAGGTGCTTGCTATGCTTGATATCAAACAGCAGAAGATGGTTCAGGAAAATGTACGCCAAGACAAAAGTGGCTTTACAGAGGTTTCAGGTCTTGAGGTAGGTGAGCAGGTATGAAAGCTGAGCAGGAGGAAAATTTTCGACTTTCGTTTTCTTTCTGCCATTATTGTTTGCTTACATGTTCTAGGGTGGCACCATATTTAACAATTTGGGACTGAGTGAGAGAGGCCCATGGGTTTGCCGAGGTCAGTTCTTCAGTCTTGCTGGTACCATACCTATCATGCGTGAGATTCTTGGACATTAAGGGATGTGCTAGTCACTTACTGCCTTTTTTTTTTCAGTTTTAGCAGAAGCTGTGTTAATAGTTACATGATCATAGACTATTTTTAGGAGTGGATGGATGATTGTTTTTTTCATTGACATTAAAATTCATTCGTCATTTCTGAGTGTGCAACCCTCCCTGACAGGAGCTGGCAGTAGTGAATGCTGGGCAGCAAGGTCAAGTCCAGTCACAGAAGGTCCACATTGTAGATGTTAATATTTACTCTGTTAGGTCAGGTTCCTGCCAAGGACTCAACTATAGGAAACTGGTGCCAGGTTAAACACAAAAGCTGAGTGAAAAAAAAGGAAGGTAGAATTCCAGTACGTTTTTGTTCTAAGTAACAACATTCTTTCATTTGTATGTAATCACCACTTGGATCCTTTAAGCCTGGTCTCAGCTTTCCTGTTTTTGTTTTCCAGTTTCTTTGAATCAGATGCTTAAATAGAAATGTACATGGGAATGTGTGAGTGTGCCTGTGTTTGTATCTAGCTAATTAGTATGACACTGGGTAACAGGATAATGCTTTTGGATTTAAAGCTTGCAGTCCTTGGAGCCTGCCTTTGTCATGGTCCCAGAGGGAGCCCCTGTTCCTGTGCCAAAATGGCGGCATCTGCTCGGAAAATGCTTCTTCAGCTCAAACAAGAGGTATTGTATTATCAAAACAGTGAAAGCTTTGGTTTTGTTTCTCCAGCAATAGAATAAATGGAAGCATCTGCAATGATTAGCTTCATTTTAGCTGTCATTGGCTATGGAATTTATGCTTAATTTTATATAATAGCATTAACTTTAAAAATGGATTTTGTTTACATGGTTCCAGAATACCATTAGTACTGGCACGATATTGTAGCCACATAAAGTTGTTTGCCTAACATTATAATTAATATTTCCTAAATTCTATTTCATTTGTCTATACATGGCCCTAAAATTACTATATATTGGAGGAAAAGGTACACTTATGCTTAAAATTACTAGGATCTGCAACACCGATTAATGGGGAGATAAACATAAAGCTTATTAGAAAAGCAACAAAGTATAGCAGAAGGAACCTTTGTGCTAGCCAGACCTTGGTTTGAATCTTAGGTCTATCATTTTCTAGTTGTGTGGCTTTGGACATATATGTTAAATGGACGGTAATAACTAGTTTGGAAGGTTGCTGTAAGAAATAGAGGAAGTAGACATATGTTTAGCACAGTGCCATACACATGCCTGGCATTTAATCAAATGACAGCTGCCGTTATAATTAGGCTTTAATAACAAATACGGTACATGGACCATAATTTAAAAAATATTTTACCTTTACTGAATGTATGGAGTTTAAAGTCTTCAGAGTATATAGGAAACCTAACAGCTAAATATTAACAATTCACTAGGAAAAGCATTAGATTACATAGATCAGAGTCAGGGTCAACTATGGGAGATATCTGAAAGATGATATTCAAAATTATTTTCAGTAGTATCATCTAGAATGGCCCAAGGCAGTACTGAAATGCAGCCTTCAACAAAGTGGAGAAAGATGTATTAGGAAAAAAAAAGCATCCTCCCTTCTTTGTTGAGCAGAACAGGGTCTGTCTAGGATAATGAGGTCCAAGAGCTGTATTAAAAGGGAATTGACAGGCACCACAAGGGAAATTTCTGATAGTCTAGCTCAGAATGGGCAAGTACTAATTAGTTTAAGCAGATGCAAAAGACCAAAGAGACAGTAGACCCGTGCTAGGGAGGGAGACTGCATTTGCTAATCTGTTTAGGCAAGAATTATTCTGGTTTGGTCTCTGACACCTCTTGAACTTTCTTTCAAAATCAGCTGCAACTTTTGCAGAAGAGTAAAGAAGAAGCCTACATAATGGCAGATGCATTCAGAATTGCATTTGAGCAACAACTGATGAGGAAAAATGACCAAGCACTAAAATTGACACAAATGGATAAACTATGTAAAAAAGAAACAAAATGGATAAATTGGAAGCACCTTAAAGAGGATGGTAAATATGAATTATAATGGCAATAATCAGGTGTAATTTGTTGTTTTGAATTATAATCAAAGTTGTTTAAGCACATTTAATATGATGGAGAATATAATTGAAATTTTGCATATAGTTGTGATATATTTAAAAAATTAGTAACTATGGGGGAAAAAGGGGTCATTGGATGTTACATATGCAGATGAGCTATCGGGATCAACAAAACCATAAAACAAATCTTTTTTTAGTACTCTTCTATTTAATTTAAACAAGGCTATACTTAGTGGGAAAAGAAATAAGAGCACTAGATGGTTAAAGGGAAACTGCCACGAAGGAATACTGAAATGATCGTGAAACCCCATATTAAATTTATCTAATTAAACTTTATTGACACATGTGATTCTGGAAGAGACATTGAGGAATAGAGGAAATATCTTAAGTTGAACAAATTAATAAAATATTCTTATTTAAAAAAAACCAAAAGATTTAGGTTTAGGTTCACTAGCCTACCAAAAGTTCATAGCCACATTTGAGTACTGTTGTAAAAACAAAATATATAAAAATGGCATGAGAGTAAAATTACAGTTGAAGTAGGTAGTCCAATATAAACAAAGTAGCTCTTATTTTTTAGAAATTTTAGTTTCTCTAAAAGGTCAATTATGTTTTTACTTGGTATTATTCAGAATCCATATTGCTTCAATTTAAAATTTCAATTTGAAGCCATTTACCAATCAATAAAGATTAAAGGGAAGCTTATAAAAAGTCTAAATGTTTTAGTACTAAAATTCTGAAATGACTATTTCTAAATATTTTCTGTCAAAATCTATAATCTTAATTCCAATATCTCTCATTTTCAGATGAACTTCAGGAATAATAATCTTATAACATTAAAAATGAAACTTTTAATAGTAAATACCTATTTCATTTGAAAATTTTCTTTTCAAACAGTACATATTAGTAATAGTATATGGATCAAGTGTTGTGAATTTTAGCTTCATTAACTAAACTTTACTCATTCCTTGGCCAAAATGGTAAGTAGCTTATAAGAATAATAAAATAGAAGTAGTAAACAAGAACCATGAAAGTAGGTAAAAGCAGATTATAAAAGCTGTGTATTTAGTATTTATCAGGCGGAAAGAAGTTAGGGCGAAAACGAAATGTCTCTTAACTCTCGTTCGTAAAGGGGCATTCCACATTGTCCTGAAATTAACTTCTTAAAGTTTTCCTGACATGAGACTTAGAGGCTATTGAGCAAATATGATGGTTAAGTCCTCAATAGTCATTTATAGTACATACAAACTCAGTTATATGGCTGTTTTCTATAATAATCCCTTCATAAAAGCTGAAGGTACAGCTTTAATTCCAACTCAAAGTAGGTGATTTTGCCAGGGAAATAAGCTAACAGTCCACATATTTAGCCTTTTAGGAACTGGAGGAAAACAATCATCTAGTTCTACCATGGATAACAAATGTGTAGGGCATCTTCCTCAGGTACCTCTTCTCTCAGGCAGGCCCTTGATAGGAGCTAGGCTGCATAAATTTCAAAGGGATAGTCTTTGAGGAGAGCCTTGGTGTTGTGTTGCTAACTGAATGCAGATCCCTTTGGAAATCTATCTTGTTTTGATGGAAAGTAGGGAGAAGAGTGATGGGAGAAAGGAGAAGACACGGTTAAAGTAATTTTCTGAAATATTGTCATATTCTGTCACCTGCATAGAAGGACTCTCAATTATGCATGAAAGTTGGCCATAAGGACACTGCTATGTAGACAAAACTGGGTTTTTCTTAAGAGGTAGAATCATATTCATTTCAGCACTTGAGTATGTACTCACTTTATATCCCAGAATTCCTGCTTTTCTTAGCTAGTGACAAACCTCAGAACTTTTCCATAGAAAATATGATCTGAGGTAAAGCTCCCAATCTGCTTTCCGTTAAGGCACTGAGAGAGATTGGAAACAATTTAAAATTGATTCATCTCTGAAAAGCCTTTACGAATCCCTACAAGTTTCAGTAGCTCTTTGTGAGTTTCTTAGTGACAAGACTTTAATTCATTTAATAGTGTATTTCAATAATCTGAAGAGGTACAGGATGATTATTACAGGTTATTTTCATGGGTGTAGTTCACACTTAAGGTATCTACTTTTCTTCTTGATATGGCAGCTAAGTTCTGAGAGAAAGGTTATATTTCTTTTTTTCAGACTGAAAATAGAGACAGAGATTCATCCATTCACTCATCCAAGCTTCCCAATGTGTCGACTTGTCTGGCTTTTCACCTTTGTCACAGTTGCTCACCGGAGGTCAGGTGTTGAGGCTCAGTCACTGCGGTTTATCTGCTCTCAGTTTTCCATGAGACCATTCGCAGAACATTCCAAAAACATTACTGAAATTTTCTTCGTATAAATCTACAGATTTTGTACTTTCCACTATAAATTGTACCCTTTCTATGGAAGAACATTAGTGTACATATTTCAAGATATGGACTATTAAGCATTACGTCAGTACCTGGGCTAGGTGCTTTCACAACTGCTTTTTTCTTTCTTTTTTGGTGGCAAAATATAAAGTTACCAATTTAACTGCTTTTAAGAAAAAGTAAATACATTCATATTGTTGTATAACCATCACCACCATCCATCTCCAGAACATTTTCATCTTCCCAATTAGAAACTGTACCCATTTAACCCTTGACGGCCCACCTCTATTATTCAATGGTACGGCAACCCTGAATTATTCTTATTCTAGAGGTGAGGAAATGAAGCTCAGAGAACTTGTCCAAGGCCATGCAGTTAGTAAGTGGCTAAATGAGGATTCAAGACCGGGTCTTTCTGGCTCTAAAGTAGAGTTTGCATGGTTCAGAGGCTGCCTGTGGCCTGCAGGGTGTTCTCAACTAATGTGGGTTAGTTGCTGACATTTAAAACTGGGAGATGTCACATACAAATCTGGACTGCTGGCTCCTCCGGAAGACTTAGATATCTGGGAGCATGGGCTGCATTCTCTCTCAAGGGGCAGCCATCGTTGGGAGCTGAGGAACTGATGATGCCAGAGTTGAAGGATACTGCTCTGGATTCTCTGTAGTGCTCTCCAGCATTTGCCATGCTGGCTCTAACAGTTGTGCTCTGCCCACTACACTGTGCTATATGACTCACTAGTGCTAGAGGTCTTCTGATTGATTTAGGAATGAATTAGCTTTGGTTCATACTTACCTCTTTTCATGGAAGTACTACAATAGTGAGTGTCTTATGTCTCAGCTATATTTTCATGTTTAATTTTAGGATTACTATCACAAAGGACTAAGAAGACCTTAGGGCAGAAACTGTTGAGTATGTTTCCTTCAGAAAACAGTTTTAAGAGGACTGAAGACCAAGCTAATCCTCAGGAAGTCTTTAAGATGCTGATAGATTTGGTTAGTATCTTTGCTTTCTTGTTAGAAGTTGTGGTTAAGCTAATCTTTTTGTTTCTTATTAAACTCATTATCACTCTACATTTGTCTTTTACGCCCTCTTCCCAGCTGAGTTCCTCCAGTTATAATCTTCATCTAATTAACTTCTGCATGGTCTTCTCACTTCTCCTAACCATGTTCTTCCTGTGTAAGTTTAAAGCTCCACCTCTGAGAAGAGGGGGCTCCCTGTAATTAACTTCAGGTATCTCTGTCATCTGCATTTATATGTACAGTACATGTCAAAACTTTCTCTTTATTCAGGAATTTTTTAAGTATTCAAGGTCCTTCTTCCTCTAACATTATATCCTTTAGTCATTACAAGCCTGAAATCGGTCTTGTTATTCCCATTTCACAGATGACTAAATTAAGAGACTCATCATATAAATGTATCTATAGAAGAGTGTTAAATTATTTGCATATAAATATACAAAAACAATTTTATGTAAGTAATTCCATTCTTTTACAAACCGAAGTACATGTTGATTTTATATATGTATATACATACAACATGTATATATTTTTCCCCTCTTCGGATGACAACAAAATTTCAACAGAATGCTTTCTGTTCTTCCTTTAAAAAAAAAATCCGCAATAACATGTAGCATAATGCTTGGGAATCAGTGGACACCTAATTAATTTATTCACATTGACTGATTTGACAGACTGAATATTGAACATTTTGATAAAATACTTCTGACTATAGCTATCTTTATATTCTGTGATTTTCTGACTGTTATATTTTTAATTTCTGTGCATGCAGTTGAATGATAAAGAAGAAGCTTTGGCTCATCAAAGGAAAGTTAGTTACATGCTTGCTCGGGCATTGGAAGACAAAGACTCAGGCTCAAAAGAGAATAAAGAAAAAAATCCCTCGAAAAACAATTTTCTATTAAAAAATCCCTGGCAGAAAACTTCAAAATTCTCTGATCTGCACGATCCTGCACATTCAAGTGTTAATTCTGTGGGCTGCATTTGTTCAATCCATCACCTTCATACAGATCAAAACTACACAAGAACTCTGAAAAGATCCCATTCTTTGCCATCAAATATCATGTTTTGAAGACAAACCAGTTGAAATTTGAACTGAGAGCTGTTTATATCGAGACTTTGAAAAAGGATTGTGTAAACATTGCTACATCTTCAGAAGTTGTATGTTTTCTGGGTCTTTCTAAATTTTAGGAGACAGCTAAAATACTCAAATGTTTTCTATAAGAAATTTATTACTATTCTGTGTTGATATATTTTATTTATAAATTACGTTAGTATATTTTATGAAATTTTCAGTATTTACCAACATCTTAAAAACAAAAAAAGTGTTTTTTGAGAAAAACAATTATTTAATTATTTAGATTGACTATAGGAACCTCTGGCTCAGGCAACAATATAATGTAAATTAATGCCCTAAGAAACAACAATGCCTAGGAGTGACTGAATGTTAATTTTGAAATACATTTATTTTGTTTTTATTTTTATATTGTGTTTTTAGGATTTTTCATTTGTCATATAAAATTTAAAAATAATTTCCTTAACCTTAATAAAAAGTTATTCTGCTGGGACTTTGGCATAAATATATTCAAAGTCATAGCTAGTTATTGCATAGCTTCTTTCTTTTGTTGGGAGTAGTGACATTTTGTAGCCATATCTACACAGAATTCTAGTACTCAAACCAGCAGGGCAATGGAATAGGATAAAAACCATACACAGATCTAATATATATAATAATTTCATAAAAAAATAAAAGGAAAAGGATCTGGGGTTACCTAACAATACCAAAATTGGAAGTGCAAAAAAAAAAAAAAAAAAGTATACATTTGAGACCCTGTATTCAATTTCTTTTTAGTATATACTCAGAAGTGAAATTATTGAATCATATGGTAATTACATTTTTAATTACTTAAGGAAACATCATAGTTTTCCATAGCAGCTGCACCATTTTATCTTCCCACCAACAGTTTACAAGGTTCTGTTTCTCTACTTCCTCACCAACACTTATTTACTGTTTCTTTTTCATATGTTTAGTAGCCATCCTAAGAGGTATGCAGTGATATCTCATTGTGGTTTTGACTTACATTTCCCTAGTGATTAGTGATATACAGTATCTTTTTCATATATTTGCCATTTCTATGTCATCTTTGGTGAAATGTCTATTCAAGGCCTTTGCCAGTTTTTAATCAGATTATTACTTTTTATTGCTGAGCTATGAGATTTCTTTATATTCTGGATATTAACTCCCTTTCTCATATATGATTTGTAAATATTCTTTCTCATTCCACAGGTTGCCTTTTCACTCTGTTATGTCCTTTGATGCATACAAGTATTGTAGTTCTAGTCCAATTTGTCTATTTTTTACTTTTGTTGCCTGTGCTTTCGAGGTCATATCAGGAATTCCCTGTCAAATATAATGTCATGAAGGTTTTGCCCCATGTTTTCTTCTGAGTTTTTATAGTTTTAGGCCTTATGTTTAGGTGTTTGATCCATTTTGACTTCGTTTTTGAATATGGTATAAGGTAAGGGGATTTTTCATTCTTAAGAACTACTGAACAGCCGCTGGGAGTATAAGTTAATATAAGTATTTTGGCAATATCAATACTAATTAAATATCAATATCAATACGGCAATATCAATACTAATTAAAAATGCACATGCATATAAACATTCCTTTTCTAATTTTAATTTTTTCCTTTTTTTTTATAATTGTGAGAAATTGAAAATAATCTAAATGTCCATGTGGCAGAGTTCTAAAGATGGCCCTCTCAAGATTCCCATCTAGGGATGGTCTAGGTACTGTCGTAGAAGAGATTTAAGATATATTTTAAAGTCTAACTGAGTTAACCTTAATATATGGATAACCCAATAAGGTGAGCCCCACCCCCTTTTTTAAAAAAGTAGAGATTTCTCTCTTGGTAGCAGATGAGGAAGCCAGACAGATTCAAAGCATTGTTGCTGGCTTATAGATTGAGAGTGCCATGTGACAAGGCCTGCAGACTGCCTTGAGAAACTGAGCTGACAGCTAGGAAGGACAGGGGGCACATGCATTAAAATGGCATGAACTGAATGAGCTTGGAAGCAGATTCTTCCCTAAAGCCCCAGATAAGAGCCCAATCCAACTGACATCTTGATTTTGGCTTATAAAAAAAATATAGCTGAGCCATGCCAGCTATGACTTACAGAACTGTGAGCTAATAAATTTGTGCTAAGCTGCTACATTTATGGCAATTTTATATAGCAAAGGAATTGTAATGCAGCTCATAAACAGAGCATGGATAGTAGTGTTGCATACATATTATATATATTATATGGCAGTTAAATAAACTAGATTTATATATATTAACATGAAGGGAATTAAAAACGAGTAAAAAAAATTGCAGTATGAGACAGTTTATCAATCATAAAATATTGAGACCTCAAACAATGCTGTGTATTATCACATGCATTCTTATAAAATAGCAGTATAAAATCATGGGAGCACACACTTATTTCCTGAGTCATTCTCCTTTAGAGAGGGTGAAAGGAAGAAACAGACAGAATGACTTATTAAAGGGACCTCAATTTTCTTTTTTTTCTATTTAGTATATTAACATTTATTAAGTCTGGGTAGTAGGTATTTGCTAAATTACTACGATTATGTTTCTGTTTTTAAATATTGCTTCTGCTACTACAAATTTGTAACGCTATATGCACCAGATCATTAACATAACTGATAGTTTTTATTAAAATTTCCTTAAAGCATTCTCAATTCTACAGTTCAGAGAACTGAACTTATCTTACTTTTGCACTCTTATTCAGAAAAATCAGAATTACGTTTGTTTTAAAATAGATTTAATAAAAATAACTCAGTTTTATATATTTTACATGTGTAGAATATTTACAAATTCCTTCTACGGCATTTACTTAATGTTTACTACTTTTTCATTATTTGCCTTTTTGACTATTTCCTTCAGTAGTAAAATACTGTCCAGTGTTACCTGTAACTAAAATATTAGCTTCTTGGGTAATCCTCCTGGGTGAAAAAAAAAATGAGGTTGTTTATATTTAATCTTACGACAATTTTAACCAGTCATTCCAATTACTTTTACTTTACTTGCTTTGATTTTCCAATAACACTTGTTAAACATTAAACATACAGTGTACCAGTAGGAATTTATGAAGAGAATAAGGTACACACTGATAGTTCTAGTAACTGAGGTATATTCAAAAGTGCCCTTGTCCTTTTTTTTAAAGAGTATGACATAAGTATTCTCAATGGGAGCAAATATAGCTAAAATTAAAATACTACATTCTATCTACTTTATACGATTTCAATTTAAAAAGAGTAAATAGCTCACAATCTACATTTTTTAACTGCACATTAATCATTTGGAGTTTTCTGAATCCATTTTTTATAAAAATGAGAGTTTTACCTTGTTCTAAGGCCTCTGTTCTCTTCCGTTTTGTTGCCAGAGAGGGATTTGTCTGCTCTTTCAAAGTTTCCACTGGACAGTTTGGTCTTGGCAGCTGACATCCAGGTGTTGGCCCTGGCCGATTACTGAAATACTTCGTTTTCAATGCCTTTAAAAAGAAAAGATTCCAAAGAAAGTAAGCTTTTAAGTAAGTATCTGAACTGTGTTAAAGGAAATCTAGGGAGACCACCTAGAAAGACCAGGTGCTGTAGGTGTAAAAAATAAAAAAAATAGGCTGACAAGTCCTTGCAATCTGTGAGGTCAACCAAGGGTTGCCTCACCTAAAATAAAAATCACAATAAAAATAAATAAATAATAAATAAATAAATAAAAGAAAAAGGAAATCTAACCTCCAAAATTGTTGGGAACATTAAAAATACTGTGTGAATCCCAAAACAAAATTTCAAGTATTTGGACATGCAAATTACTACAAGTAAATATCTAGCAGCCTAAGATTAACTGATAATTCCATTACTATGAGGAAGATAATACCTTCTAATTTTTCCACAATTAAACAGTCTACACTAAATATGAAATACCCTTAGTAAGACATTGTATAATTCAGTTCTCTACAACTCAAAACACAAAAAGAGAAAGTTGCTTAAAAAGAACTTCCAAGTTTGTCATAACATCTATATGTATTCCAATTCCAAATCGTATAAATATAAATTATTAAAAATAAAGCTTTAAAAAAGAGAATAGGTTGGAAACAAGGGATTAAAATCCAATAATCCACTGCAAATTGATAGAAATTTTACTTGAAAGGACTTGTCCAAGGTTATTTCTATTTATTACCAGTCCAGTGACCTATAATAAGATTTTAAGTTTACTTCAGTCCATTCCAATAAAAATACTTTTATTCTAAATGACAAATTTATCAAATTTATACTTTACTTGCATCATAGTACTATTTAACAGCCATAGTAATTTAAGATATTTCCTTCTGGATAATCCTCTTAGGAACAAAAAAAGTCCATATACTCTTCAAGCATTTTCCTCACAACATTATTTGAAATAATGATTTAGAGATTTCTTACTTTAAAAGAATTGCATTTCTAAAGTATTACTTCTAAATAATAGCAGTTCTCTAAGTAAATTAAGCTAATTCTGAGCTACATAGCGATCTAAGAAAGAGTATCTCATTTCAACTTTAAGAGCCAAAAAAAATTTTTAAAATTCAGTTTATCAAAATACAACCCAAATCAGTTATCACAACTATTATCTTTCTGTAAGTTTTGAGTTTTACTATGAATGAAAATAACTTTCTAGATAATACGACTTGGTCTCAAGTTTATGATGAACATAATATGTATATACACGAGTGAAAAGATAATGAGTTACTTGTTTGAAATTAGAAGAGTAATTCTAATGGTAAAGTATCTAGCAAGTATGTATAAATGTAGCATGTATTGCTAAAAAGAAAAAGCTGATAGTAGTAAATGCATTAAACAATGGTTTGATAGTCTGTAATAAACTTACATGAAAAAAAAATACACTTTGTATCCTTGATATATTGTGTATTAACATGTTTTGTAAGATCTGAAGACTTGAGTTTTCATTTTAATTTGGCTTCCTTTATAAAGCCTAATCATTGCACTGTGTTGCAGTTTTACATATCCCTGCCTCGATTTTAGGTGTTTGTGACTCTGCCCTTTTTTGTTCTTATGCTTGTTTTTAAAACAAAGAACATTTTTTTAAAAAAAATCTATAGGTCTTTTATTCTTGTGTTGGATAACATTTCCCCCTTCTTTTAGTAAGAGCAAATATTCTTAGTGTTTCAAATTTTTGAGTTTGATAGTTATTTCTCTGTCAGTGTCAGTGTTTGTTCTATTTAATATCTTTCAATCTCTTGTGAATATACAGCTGTTATCAGATGGTACCATTTTCTCCCCATTATCACTTCTGATTGTGACAATGACCAGTGTGCATATCTGGATTGTATTTTATGAGAAACAAAGCACTTTTGGCACTAGGCTTGGTACAAGATTTAAATCAATACATAACAGTTTAATTGAAATATACTAGGGTCTTAATAAAGACAAACCTTGTTATATTTTCTTCTCTAGACTACTTGAAAGCCAATTATTTTATCAATTAATTATGAAATTGATATGTATTTACAGGTTCCTAAGCATGAATAACCTCTCCTGTAGTTGTGTGTGCATGATGTAATTTAATACCAGTCTGAATAGAACTTATAGCTTGGAAAAAAAATAAAATTTGTTACTCAAAACAAAACCAAAACACATCTTTCTAATATTTAAAGAATGTTAGAAAATCTTACAAAATTCTGTTTTTACTTTAACCTCATATTTTATAATATAAAGAAAATATGCTAAAAATACCTGTGAGGCTGTAATTCGAGTACATGGATTAAATGAGAATAAGCCTTGTATGAGAGCTAGCAAGTCATCTCCTGCCGCAATAAAGATGTGCTGTAATGGGATTCCAGGGAAACTCTTAAATGTCACGAAATCTGGAAGACTACACATGTCCTGTAAAGATATTTTTATAATTCAAGCTTAAGTAAATGATTGCAAGGCATATAGATCTTAAATGAAGAAATAAAACTCATACAGATATGATGATCTAAGTAGAAAACCCCAAGAAATCTATTTAAAAACTCCCAGGATTGGGGAGTAGAGCAAGGTTGCAGGATATAAAATAAATATACAAAATCAATTGTAGGTCTATACATTAGCAATGAACAGTGAACAATGAAATTTTTAAAATGCCATTTAAAATCACCCAAAAAGAACAATGAAATACTCAGGTGAAAATCTAACAAAGCATGTATAAGTCTTATATACTGAAAACTATAAAACATTAATGAAATAAAGCTGTATATAAATGGTGAGACCTATCATGTTTATGGATTGGAATATTCATCATCATAAAGATGTCAATTCTCCTCTACTTTTTATATAGGCTTAAACAATTCTTACCAAAATTCTGGCAAAATTATTGTTTATTCTAAAATTTACACGAAAGGCAAAGAAACTAAAATAGCTAGAACAACTCTGAAAAAGAACTAAAGTGAAAGGAATCAGTCTACCTGATTTCAAGACTTAATATATAGCTACTTTAATTAAAACTGTGGTATTGGCAGAGGGATAGATATATATAGATCAATGGAACACAAGAGAGAGAACCCAGATGACATCTTTACAAATATGCCCAACTGAGTTTGGACAAAGGTGCAAAACATTGAGTGGAAAGGTAGTCTTTTCAAGAAATGGTGCTGCAGTAATTGGACACACGGGGCAAAACAAAAACAAAACAAAACAAAAAAACAAACCTTGACCTAAGTCTCACACCTCATACAAAAATTAACTTAAAAAGGATCACAGTTATCAATAAATTATATCAATAAATGATAGCTATTAAGGTGTGTTTTACAGTTAGAACATATACTAAACTTTCAATAAGAAAGTTGAGTTAGTAATAGCACAAAAGAAATCCCTTACATTTAATTTCTACTTTGGATAATTTCACTGCAGTTTTAACCAGAAGGTGAAGAGTCTGATTAAAATTTTCTGATTAAAATTTCTCTTTTCTAGTACTTATTTATTCTCCAAGAGATAGGAAGGAAAAGCAAAAGGTCTATGATTTTAATTTAAGAATAAATAAGTGAGACTATTTTACTGAACTGTATATATAAAATTTAGCAACTTAAATTGTAAATTTTACCACAGACATAATTTTTCTTTTATGTAGACAATGGGTTAAAAATAATAATACTAAAACATTTTAATTTTGTTAATGAAAATTCTATAAACAAACCTAAATCCATCATAAAGATGTTGATAAACTAACATTAAAATGAAATATTACGCAGCTGTTAAAAAGGAAAAGGTCAGTAATATTAAGTACAAAGTAATTTGGTTGCCAAAAAAATTATATGGTGTGATCTCATTTTTTTTTAAAGAATAAAGGACACAAAATGCAACTCTGTATGTACGTATGTGTTTGTACATCCTCATAGCAAGCCTTTATACCAAACAGTGATTAACTCTGGCATGAAAGAAGGGTTATATGTACATAGGAAGCTGGATGGTATATCACAATTTTAACTTTTACTTTGTATAAGCTTTGTAATGAGTATATATTATTAGTAAATTAAGACAATGAATACATTTCTTTAAGTAATATTCACATGACAGCACTATGTGAAATCCTAACTAAATTTCAAAGAAAATGTATAAAGGCTTACAGGCCACTGTTCCTCAGTTGGTGTGCCTAAAGTTTCAAATATTCTTGTTAGTTGATCAAGGTCTGAATCTCCTGGCAAAAAAGGAACCTGAAAGAAAGTGAGAGGCAGACATTTTAAAGTGGTTTATGATAACTGTTATGCAAATAAAACTATAAATTTAATAAGAAAAACTAAATTGTTAACGAAAATTAAAATGTAGTCTGAGGTATACTGGATGTGGCATCAGACCCTGCCAATGCTAAGCTAATAAACAGCACCACACTGCCCATTTTATTCACTCCACAAATCTTTACTAAATACTTACATTGTAATAGGCACTGTGCTAAGCCTCAGGCATTCAAATGAGGGAACAAAACAGTCCCCACTCTGCCCTTGGGTAGATGTGAACAATAGTAATACAAGAAAAGGAGCATTTACACGATGGTATGTGTGAGTACAGGATCCTAGCCCATACACGAATAGCACCTAACCTACTCCATACAGGTTACGGAAGGCATCCTAGAGGGATTAGCAGGGAAAGCTGAAGGATAAAGAGTTAGCCAGAGGAAAAGTCTAACATGGAAGAGGACTATTCTAGCAAAAGGGAGGGTCAAAAGATGGTAGGTAAGAGAACACATCTCTATTCCAATCTTAATAAGCTGATAAATTATGAGAATTCTTGCTATATATAGATATAATTTCTAACTCACTCTCAGACATCTATGTAAATAAATAAAAGAGAAAAAAAGTTTTCTCTATTCTATGAATACCAGAGACCTTCAGCACTGTTAAAGGCCTTGAAAGTTTAGAGACTCACTAGGAAGATATAAGATTAAGTAACAAGTCTCCAACATTTTTATTATGGTAGAACTCTACCAGCAAAACAAACAAACAACAACAACAAAAAAAATCACCATCAAACTATGCCAGTTACCAATTTCTTCCACGTTCATCTTTTTTGCCTTCTCTGTGAGAATGGATCTGGCCCCCTTTAAATATGTTTCCTTTGCCAACGGAAGCTTTGTCAGTAGAGCATGCTGGAGAGACAGTACAGGAAGAGTTTCGCTTCCTGGTTCTGGTTTGCTTGCTCCTCAGACTCCTGTAGCACTCTCAGCTTCTCACAGGATGAGAATCCTGCAGTATGGACAGTTTCTCCAGTGCACAGCTCCAGCAATGCAGATACCAGCAGCTTCCCCTCTAGAACCTGCTGTGGACAATTCTGTAGCAGGGCACCTCCAGAGGAATGCTTCCCCCTGAACAGCTTTCCACAGACGACAGACTTCCAGCAAGTTCTGCCAGCACAGCTTCACAGCAACTTCTCTGCCATCCAGTGAGCCACATGGTGCCCTCTTCAACAAACAAGGTCTACATCCTCTTCTTTGGGTGCTCTGTCTCAGTCCTAGGGGTAAGAGGGGCTGCTCCTTATATCCACTATTTCTATACTCTTCAGAGTTCTCTTTACTTTTTATTGATCAGTCCCTCATTATTCAAATATCTTGTCATAGTTAATAATTCTTTATAATAAACTTCCCTAATCAAATTAATGTGTGGTTTCTATTTTGATTGGATCCAGACCTAATACAATTCCTATATAATACTGTGCTGTTATAAATGTGCACATTTAATATACATAGGAGATAGTGAACAACAGTTGACAAATATTTTTAGACATGCTCATGTTTTCTTCTTATACCTCAAAGAATTATCTTCTACTTTGCAGACCAACAAGGGAACTGTACTATAAAATTTGAAGAGAGGGACACTCGTCAACACAGCTTTAGTTTTGTGGGCAAGCTTGCCAACTGAATCAGATTTTCAAGTGTTTTCATCTGATGTAAAAAATTTTAATTAAAATAAGCTGCCTTATGGTTCCATTTTGAATAAATCAACTATAGAGGACATTTATGAGAAAAATTGATGAAATCTGAATATAGACTGGGTCTTTAACATTATAAAAGATTTATTCATTTTTTTCAGATGATAATGGTATTGTGGTTGATAAAAAATCCTTATCTTTTAGAGAAACAGTAACAGATGAATAAAATTATATGATGTCTGGGATTTGTGGCAAAAAAAAATGCGGTATCTGAGAGTATTGACAAAATAAACTTGCCAATGTGTCAAAAACCATTGATGCTGGCTGGTGGGTACATAAGAGGCTTGTTTTACTATTCTCTCTGTTTCTGCAGGTTTGAAAATACTAAATATTAGAAAGATTTTTTTTTCATGAAAGGAAGAACTGCTTTGGAATTAAAACTTAAAACTTTTAAAAAACTGTTTTACTTTTCTTAAATTAATGTATGCACGTGTTCGAACACTGAATAGACTCATAAAAAACCTGGTCCTTTGACTCATCGACCGCCCCCCACTTATAACTATGTAATTTTTGTTCAGTGCAGACATAACATTAAATTTCTCTTCCTGTATAATAATTTGGTTTTCCTAGAGGTAATGATTCCCTAGTCCTCCTCCTCTCTCAACTCCTCCCATTATTCCCCACTTTGGCAATTTAGTTTGTACCTAGGGCTAAGACTCCAGTTATTCAATATCATTTACTACATGATCAAACCTATCAAAATCGATCAGTTCCATTTTTCTGGAGACACCCCCCAACAACTGAAGCATTCATCTCATCTGCTACAATCTGAACTAGTTATTATCTAGGCCTGTTGCATACTTGTTTTCTCAGAACTTCCCTTCACTATTAAATGGAGAATTCTATTCATTTCTTTCCTGTGTTGAATCTATGTTCCCTGGATCCCACGTCTCTTTACCCATTTATAGTAGAGCATATCTTCCAATAACTTAAGGAATCGGATATAAAATTTTTGGTAAATAAATTGTATTTATTTTCATAGCTAATTGGAAATAAGAATGTGCACAGAACTCTAGGTTGAAATCATTTTTTCTCACAATGTGTTCTTTACTTTCTTCCAGGTTTCAATGTTGTTGTTCAGAAGTCTGATGCCATTCTTTTCTCTAATCCTTTATTTTGGTTTCTATGTAAGGTATGTTTTTTCTTTTGGGGGAAATAAAATTTTTCTAGCCCCTGGCACTCTGAAATTTCACAACCTGCCTTGACATGGGTCTTTCATTCATTGCGAAGAGTCTTTAAGGCACTTTCATTCTATTCACACGATGCTGGGCTGTTTCTTGTGAACTGCCTATTCTACATTTTCTTTGTCCTCTTTTTATATACTAGGATCAATCCTGGATCAATCTACTAATACTACAGTCTGTCTTTATCTTTTGGTTCTACTTAATGAGAGTTCTTAGCTTATTTTTCCAATATTTCCACTGTTTTTGTTTGCTTTTAATGATCCTATTTGAAAAAATTTAAGTAGTCCTTATTCTTTGATTGTTCCTTCAGTAAATGAGCATTGTGCTCTTGTTCTACAGATATAGTATATTGTTTTAGTTCTCTGACGATTGGGGGGTACTGGTGGTGAATTTTCTTCTGCTACCTGTTTCTATTTTATCCAAGTTCCTTTCTTAGTTTGTTTCTGTCTTTCACGTTGGATACTTTCATCGAATATCTGGTGATCTATACATGTTGGACAGATTCATTAAATATCTGAAAATCCTTGATAACTGTCTGGTGACCATTAGCTAACCATTAATATTTCTGGGTAAGATACTAAAAGCCTGATTAAAAAGCCTTATATCTATGAAGAGAGCTTCTAAATTCATAGACTCTGCTCTAAAAAGACTGGACACAGAATTTAATGCCAATTATCTGTGGGTCTATTCTCTGGGACTATTCAGTTCTTCCAGTGAAGGATCCTCTTATCTTTTACCTGGGTTAACATGGGATATTACACTGGTTGCCAGGGTTCTGGAAACTGAGCAAGGAAATAGATTTAAGGTGTGCAGACTTCAGTGTAATCTGCAAGTTTTCACCCTGGCACCTAACTCTAATCCTTCACTGTGTCTAATCTTCCTGCCATGTTGAGATTCCTCCTTGAATACCTTTGGAGAATAAATCTTTCTCTGGTAGAGAAATAAACTAGGGGAAAACTTAGTTGGGGGAGGAGAGGTGACTTGGCTGTGTTAAGGATCCTGGTATTAACTGCTCCATATAAAGATTTTTTTAACCAACCCCCCCCCCCGTTTTTAGTCTTGCACCTCACAGCTGCCATCAGTGGTCATAGGTGCCTCCCATTACTAAGCAACTTCAGGATTCTGTGTGCTACACCAAACTTGCCTTCTTCATTTCTGGCTTTATATTTTCTGGCACAGTGTTAGTGTTACAGGCATTTCCTACTTTCAAAGATGGCATTTATATTTGTTTTTCTTTAAGAGATAATTTTTAAGGGGGAGATTTTTGCCCAGCCATCTTAAATATCTTTAAGATATAATCATCGCTTTATTTGAAAATGTCTTCATTGTATTAAACATCAATGTATAATGACTAAGAAATCCACAGTTATGTATGAGCAGGTATTCGGTCCAGTATGTAACCCAAGATATACCACTGTTTTTTTCCCTAGGGATGAATAATTATTTCTAATTTTCATTTAGTAATCTGAATGGCTAAATCTAAGAATATGAATAGCATGTATATCTCATATGGCAGCTCTACAATTTCATTCTTAGCAACTAATGATCTTACTGATTTTTGTTTGTTAAATATGAAATATGGGCTAGTGGGCCATCCATATTTAGTTAACAAAACTGTACAACATTCAAGTAATATCCACATTACTGCAAACACAAACATTATCAGAAGAATAGCCTGTGCTTCTTATTGCTTTCTTTTTTCTGTTCTATAATAACTTCTTAGGGGGTATCAGAATTTCACCCATACAAAATTGTGACTAAGCATATGAATGAAAACTTTTTAGTTTTAGGGGAAAAAATCCAATTAAAAAAGGAAGAAAGGTACTGAAATGGGACTTCTCTCTGGTTCTTTTCAATGACTCCACTCATGAAATCTCTTTAAATTGTGTTGAGATTCATCTTTTAAACAAAATTGTTATTGTACAAATTTATTTTTCTTTTTTCATATCTTTCAGGGAGGCAGGGATCGCAAACCAAATATTAGAAAATTGGCAGATATTTTTTATGCAATGTGCATAATCAACAATATAGTTCTTGAATAACTGGAGTGCTTTGGTCTCTAGCACTTGTGTGCATCCTCGACTGATGGAAACTCTGTTCTAATCTGATACAGTCAAACTGAGGTACTGAAATGACAAAAAGGCTTAAGGTGACCATATTCTAAACCATAGCTCTGGATCTTCATCATCTGAATAAAGTGAGAGGAAGGTAGGCAAGTGCTGATTGATGTAACCTTTGTAATACAACATCGTCTCTAGAAGAGGCTCTAATGCAGGCCTGAAGGGTGATCACTGACCTTACCGTAAGGCATAAAGTATCTTCCCCAAATTATAAACTTGTTTACAAACTAAAACGGTTATTTTTGAAACTGCCTAGACTAGATACAGGCAGTTGCTTAGCAAGTAGTGTCCAAGTTTAGATTTTCTATTAATCACTATCTGTCTTAAATCATTAAGAAAAAAAGAATATAAAGAGATCATAAATTTAAAAGCACCTTGTGCTATTTAATGACATAATCCTAGACCTAAGTATTCCACTGATATAAATATTTCTATATTTCTTTTCATTTAACAATATCGGAGGATATTCCTAATATAGACCAATTGGCTTCTAAAATGATTTAAACTACACTGAGTACTTTGGTTGGATACAGACTTACTTAATATTGCTTCTCTATTTTCTAGTTTAAGTAGTTTTTTAAACCTACTTTTATAAAATTTATATAAAAGAAAAACACTTAAAAAGGCTGAATGCTTATCATAGAAAATCTTTCTTTTAGCTATCCTTTCAATATTATATAACTATGAATATTATACAACATATGTAATATGTAATAAACTATATATAATAAATATACTATATAACTAGTCTTCTTTCAGTTATTGTCTGTTTGGACTACAGGATCTCACCACAGATCTAGAATGTACAGACAGCATTTCCATGGATGTATTCAAACGAGCAAAGGGACAGTTTAAAATAGAAAAATTTTTTTCTTCAATTGTGCAGGACAAAAAATATGGCAAAATGGTACAATTCTTCACTAATTAGGGCTGTCTGTCCATTGCTTCATAACCTTAATAATGATTCCAGCAACAATGTCAATGGATAAGACTTCAACTGTGATTTCGACCAAGTCCACAATTTCTAAATCGTCTTTTCTCAACTGCTGTCCTTTCTCAATGGAGTCACTAGTCATAACATTAGGGGCTTAGGAATTGTTTTTCTTAGTCCTGAATGCACTGTGCTTTCGGTTGCTGACAGATTCTCAAATTTGAACTTGTGGTAAACTCTGTGCTCCTGTGAGTAGCAGAGCTGCCATGCCATCTGATTCACAGGACCCAATACCAGCACAGGATAACTAAGTCATTTTCAAGTCTAAATGTGAGGGTTTCTTCAGCAAGCACCTTACCTTCAACATTTAGTAGGGCTAACCTAAATTTAATAGCTAAAGTTAAGTCTCTAAGTCAGCATCTTCCTCTCCAATGAGGGCAGGAAGAGGATGTTTTATGTTAAGGTGGTCTCAGTCAGAGAAATGGTATGGGACCGTCATGACTGCTCTGCTTGAACAGAACTAAAATAATCCTCTCGTCTACAGCCATGCTACCCTAAACAAGACTGATCCCGTATGATCTCGGAAGCTAAGCAGAATTGGGCCTGGTTAGTACTTGGATGGGAGACCACCTAGGAAGACCAGGTGCTGTAGGTGTAAAAAATAAGAGATTGTAAACTGACAAGGTCCTTGCAATCTGTGAGGTCAACCAAGGGTTACCTCACCTAAAAAATAAAATAAAATAAATAAATAAATAAAATAATCTTTTCACACAAGGTTTAAAGTTACACAGAGTTGCAGCTACAGTGGTTGGTATTACACAGCTCTTAACGTATATATTTAAACAGTCCCAAACAAAAAAGTCCCAGAGGTATAAAAGTTCATCCTAACACATTTAGTTACTGTAGAGATATTCCCATATTACAATCCAATGAGGGTTTTATTTTATTTCATAACACAGAAACGACTGATTATAAAACCTTTACTGTCCTAAATGGGAGGTGTTCTCATCTCATATTAGCATTAATAAAAAGGTCACATTAGGGGTAGGCTTATTTTTTTTTTGAATTGGTCTGTTTATTGGCTTTTTGTGTAAAGATGATGTCCCTCTCTGAAAATTATCTCTGAGAAGATAATTCTTACAGAAATTATAAGAATAACTATAACAATATTGAAGTGTGTACAGCAATTCAAGACTTACCCTTAGAAGTAACTCTGCTAATATACAGCCAACAGCCCACATGTCCACACCTACACCATACATTCTAGCTCCAAACAGTAACTCAGGGGCCCGATACCACCTGAAGAACAAAAAGAAATACTGTCATTTTAGGATGGAATTATTAAAGTATTTCCTAGAGAAAACTCCTCAGTGAAACATCATCCCACTGATGAAATTTACTTTTAAGGCTATATTAACTCAATAAAAACTGGCAATAAAACAAGTAGAGTTCTGTATTGCTGCCAGAAAATTATATACATCCTTGGTCCATTCACTTTCATACTTTTTTAGATGATTAACAACCTTCTTTCTCCTGAAACCCTCAGCACCATCCTTCATCTCAGCTGATGACTTTGCTTCCTATTTCACTGCAAAAAGTACAAGTGAAAAATTTTTTTTTTCTACACTTACCTACAGTCATTTGTACTCACACAATCTACCTTCCCATCTGTAACTACATATGAACCGTCTGTGACTGTTTTTAAAAGCTAGTCTCTCAACTTGGGCACTAGATACTATGCTATCTCGCTTTTTTTTCAAAGATATTGCTCCTGTAGTTCCCTCCTCTTTCTCCTCTATCAACTTTTTGTTCTTTACTAGACTATTAGCACTGATGTACAAACATACCATTATTTCTCTGACCTTAAAAAAATAAACAATAAGGAACAGAAAGAACAAACTAATCAAAAACAGACTCACAAATACAGAAGACAATCTGGTGACTGCCAGAGGGGAAGGAGAGCGGGGGTTGGGAGAAAAGGGTGAAGGGTTAAAGAAGTACAAGTTAGTAGTTGAGAGTCACGGGGATGGGGAGTATGATTTAGTAGTTGAGAGATGGTCACAGGGATGGGGAGTATGACGCAGGGAATGTAGTCAGCAGTAATGTAATGGCTATGTGTAGAGCCAGAGGGGTGCTAGAGTAATTGGGGGGATCATTTCACAAACTATATAAATATGTAACCAATGGACTGTATACTTGAAATAATAAAATAAAACGTGAAACAAAAACCACACTAAACACCAAAGAAACAAACAATAGAAACTTCTTTAGACCCTACAGATATCTCCTCATTCTCCGGTAAGTCCGTTCTCACTGCCTCCAATTCCTCTTTTCTCATTCTCTTAAACTCTTTTCAATCACGCTTTCATCCTACTACTTCACCAAAACTGCTCTTGTCAAGGTTAATAATGATATCCACATCACTAATCTGTCAATTCTCAGTCCTCGTTTTAACTCGATTAGTAGCATTTGATTTGCATGAAGAGAAAATATGAGAAATTGACACATGAAAAGCACTGTAAACAGTACTCTTGTATGTAGGTCCCTGTTTTCTTGAGTTCCAAGAGTTCCTGAATGATGGGCATAATCTTTCCAGCAATTACATGAATAACTACTTATATCCCTTACTTCTTACTCAGGGCTCAGATGACTGAACTCAAGGGATCTATTTGGAAGGTGATAAAGTAATTTAAAGGATTAGACAGAGAATCTGTAGATCTTCTCATATCCTTATGACTCTTGAAAAGTAACGCCATCCTGACAAGAACTGTAAAATCTACTATCCCTATCTAATGTGATTTTTAATTTTTACATGTAAAAAGTATAAACAAAATACAAATGTAATAATAATATGAAAAATCCAAATATATAGATAGTGCTTTGTTTTGTTTAGAGAATTTTCATTCATACTGAGTGATATAAAATATGGAAATAGGACTGAACAAATAAACACAGCACCCCCATCAGGTGATTATGTAAAACAGCCACTTAAGTTCCAACCCACCTAAAATGTAAAAGTATAAATTATTCCCCAAAGTCACTAGGTAAATGTCTGAAGACTGAGTTAATTCAACTCCATTTGAAAGAAGGGGCTGTATTTTTTTTCATTGAGATAAGATATACATAACAAGGGCTGTATTTTTAACAAATCACCAACGATGATTCCTCAACTCTGCCAAAAGAAGCCAAAAGATGCTCACTTGTGAATAATATCCTGCATGTTATAAGCTTTCAGTTATTTAAGGGATTCTTACCTGGTTACAACCTGATGTGTATAAGCTCTATTGGGGCTCCCAAATGATTTGGCCAGGCCAAAATCTGCCAGCTTTAGAACTCCATTTTCATCTAGCAACAAGTTGTTTGGTTTTAGATCCTACAGCATGGAGGTTTTAAACAAACAAGTAAGCAGAGTTGGGGAGACTACCATAACAATTTAGTTGGCTTAAATTTAAACTTAGCAAAAACTGGGTAACGCTCCAAAGTAAAGAACAATCAATATTTTTTTCATTGATGTAAAATCCTATCAAAGCAAAACAAGATTGACTAAGACCCTGGGTCAAGTTACCTAATTTCACTGAACTTCAATTTACCTACTTTTACAGGGTTGCTGTGAGGATTAAATTTAGTGTTTTCTGTAAAGAGCCTGGTGTGATGACTGGCTCATAGTAAGCACTCAATAAATGGCTGCTGCCATTAATTTAATAACAACATAAACTTTAGTACATAAAAACTATACATTTAGAAAAGATGAAGAACATATTCTCAAATCTATGCTAAGACGATAACAGCAATAACAATAACGTATAAGGGATTCCAAGTTTAAGGTATGAGAATTATTAACTATAAATTATATATTCTTAGCTATTTATCTAAATAAGTGTCTAAGAATATTTACCTATCTAAATTATGTCTTGTTTCAATGGCTGAATGTTCAGAACAATGACTCGACCATTTCAGAAATTTAATTTATTACTTCAGCCTAATTTTAGACTAGTAGAAATATTATTTTTCTAAAGGTATTTTAGCATTGTATAATTTAATCCAGACTCTCACTGTACTTTTCCGCCCCCATAACAACTGCAGGGTACAAAGAACACTGGACTTAAAGCCAGAAGATCTAGCTTCTAACTAAATTTCATATAGTAATTTAGAGTCCTCACACCACCACCTGGTGGAACAACTGAAGAGAACAGACAAGAAAGTGGGATAAAATGCTCCAGCTATTATCTCTGTTTAATTTACATACTCAGACCATTTATGTAATAAACTGGCTATATAAAACTTGACAACATAAAGAAGCAATCACACTTGGTTAAAAACCTTACCCTATGTAAAATCCAGTGTTGATGTAAATATTCTAACCCCTGAAGAGTCATCAACATGTACGCTTTGATGTGTGATGGTGTCAGCACAAGACTATTATCCTTTATTATAACCTGTAAAGCAGGTATACAATATATAGGTAACTTCATTATTCCAAATAAATGCCACCATATAAAATCATTGACAGATATAAAATGAATTTATTTATACAGGACAATCTTAAGAAAGGTTGCCTAACTCTCTTTACGAAGCACTGGCAGAATTTCCAGTCATGTGGTTAGAAGTATCTTTGGTTTGGGAAGAAAACAGTGCTTTGTCTCTTACTGCTTTATTCACTTGCTCCAGGATGTATAGCTCCTTCTGATAATAGCATTCAATATTAGTTAGGGAAACCACCTGTTCCCAGCTGAACCTACATGGTTAAAACAAGACTGACCATTGCTTGCAGCCTCCAGAGGTAGGCACATAACCCAAGCATAGTCAATCACCACTGTAGCCTGCTGTCCAGGAGACTGATTCAGAGAGGGACATGCGAACCATGCCAAGCCAATCAACTAGGCTAAATGCCTGTGCTAGAATAAAAAAGAACAGAGAACTTCCTTTCTTCAGGGATTATTAAACTCCAAGGATATTCGCCTAGATGTACCAAGGCTACTATATTGAGAAATTATGTCCATGAATGAAGGCAACAGAGAAAATAGAGTGAGTTAAAGTGCAAGACTGAGTTCTGATGGTATTGTTTGTGAGCTGTGCCTAAAACCGGTTTATTCCTAGACTTATCAGTTACATGGGCTAAAAATTCTCATTTTCTCTTTTGAAAAAAAATCAGATTTAGGTAAACTGTACCTTTTTAGTGCACAGTTCCATGACTTTTAACACATCCAGTTGTGCATCCACCAGCATAATCAAGATATAGTACTATAATGCCCCCCAAATTCCCTCAGGCCCCTCTGTACTCAGTCCTTTCTGTGCTCCCAACCCCAACAACCCCTGATTTCTGTTCCTTTAGTTTTACCTTTTCCTGAATATCATATAAATAGTATCATATATAGCCTTCTGAACCTAGCTTCTTTCATTTAGTATAATGTATCTGAGATTCATCTATATTGTTGTATATATTAATAGTTCATTTCTTTTTTATTCCCAAATAGTATTATATTGTATGGACACACCCATTTACTTATACATTCACTGGAAAAAGATATTTGGATTGTTTCCATTTTGAGTGACTATGAATAAGGCTAAACAGCTGTGTACCAACTGATTTCTATGTAGATATGTTTTAGTTTCTCTTAGATAAATACCTAGCAGTAGCATTGCCAGATCATACCTTAAACGTATATTATATTATATGAAACTGCCAAATTCTTTTCCCAAATGGCTGTACCGTTTTGCGTTCTCACCAGCAGTGTATGTGAGAATTCTAGTTGTTCCACTTTCTTGGATTGTCAGTTTTTGAGATTCAATTAATAGTAAAGAAAAGCATAAGATCTTATTTTTCCTCAAAAGCTTTCAAAAGGTTGAGATTCTGTGACACTATGGAAAAGAAGCTCTATATTTTCAAAGGTCTAACACTCATTTCTCTAAAAATTATGCTGACAAGGTATAGGGTAACTCAGACAAATGCTAATGAAATCCAAATCTTTAACACTGGATGGCTAAAGGATTCAGAAGATCCTGGATTTAAGAGTCTACCCAGATTTCAAAATTAAGCATTCTTTTGACTACCAGTATCCTCCTAAGTAGAAAATAAACATTTAAGTTCTCTTTTGAACAGAGAAAAAAAATTCCTCTAGGAATCTTAATCTTACCTCTAGATCAGTTTCCATAAAATCAAAGACAAGGCTAATATTAGATTTATGTCCAAAAGCATCAAGGAGCTGCAAAGCAAAATTTAAAAATAATGAAAATGTGATTCTCTATTAACTACTTGAGAGCATTAACAAAGTAATTTTTAAAAATTTAAATAAGCATTGGACAATTGATAATTCCCTGTAAAGTTTAAGTAATTTTATTAAATTTGATATTTACTTTTTGGGGGGCTAGGAATTAGTATTTTGAGGAACAAAAATGTTAAACTTTACTAAATACTTAATCTTTCCCCTGACATTTTAGAAGTTACAATTAAGAAATGAACTAATAAAAACCTAATCTCAGTCTCCAATTCAGAAAAATTTCTACTTCAGAAAATCCTATCAATTGCAGTGGCAGAAATCATTCATTGAATGAGTGCCTACTCTATGCCAGGAACTATTCTAAGTACTCTAAATGTATTCAATTAGCTAGTCTCACAACAATCCTATAAGGTAAGGACTATGGCACAAACATGTGAAGGAACTTGCTCAAGGTCTTGTATATGCTAGAACTCTCTAGGCTTCAAAATGATTTCTGACAAAATTAGCCTTATGCCAGTATTTTATTTCACCAGTTTTACACTTTTAAAGACACTGCCTACAGGAACAATTTGGATAGAAAATACATTTCAGTCTGATAAACTTTTCAGTTTTTTTGCAAGGCTTACCTACAGCTCATTTTGCTAAGCCTTCAGTCAACACACCACATTCAGAAAAGACAGGGTCCCAAATCCCAGAAACAACTTACATCATACTCACACCAATTATATTTGGATGACTTAGCTCCTGTAATAATTTTATCTCTCTTAAGGCTGTTCTATTTATACCTATATAAAAAAGCAAAGCAAAAAGTGAAAATTATTTTCAAATCTTACATTTTTTGGGAAGGGTTAGTCTCTCAGGAAATAGCAATGAATATTTTACAGAAAAATAAGGGCTATTTTGATAATTTCAATGACATCTGTTCTTCTTTTATACTGTTTTATTTTTAAAATAGCTTACACAGACTAAGACAAATGGTGAACAAGTATTAACTTTATCTGTAGCATATAAGATCTAAAGACTGCTGGAATAACAACACGTAAAAGTGAGATGCATATAGACGCTAAGTCAATAGCTTCTCCTCTCTTGTCCTATGAATGTTGGCAACAGATTTATGCTAACAGCAGACTATCGATAAGACAGTTTTTTTTTCAATGCAAAGGATAGAACTCAAAATGAAAAATAAGATCTGGTATTAGTTATTAGTTATTATATAGATGATGGGTCCTTTTTATAAGAATTATTTCTTGACAGCTAAACAAGACTTAGCACTCTAGCAAACGAGGCTTTGGAAGAGGGATGAAGAAATCTTTTCATTCATACATCCATTCCATTGTGAGTTTTGTGTCCTTCCATGAAGGTGTATCCTGAATTTTCAAAGTAATTAGAAGCTCAGAAAAAGAAGAAACAATGACCTAAAACAGTAACGAAGACAGCAAGACAAACCACTAATAACTTTGCTGCCTTCCATTTACTAAGGTGATTTGAATGTTAATCTCTATACTCAAACAGTGGAAATCACAAATATCCTGTCTCTATTTTGAGTCAATCTTTACTCTTCTGGGACCTTGCAATAATTCTACCCAGAACCACTGTTAACTCTAATACTTTGCTCATTTCCTCAGTGAGAATAAAAACCTTTCCTGTTCTGTCAAATTACAAGAAATACTTACCATCTTTAGCTTCTGATCTATGTCCAAGTTTGATCTGGTAGAGGAAAAATACAAACACATTAAAAATGTGTTGTTATTTAGACAATGCATATACATAAAATTATACATACACATGTACACATACTTCAAAAACTTAGCTACAGCAAAAACATGTAGCAACTCATATGTACTTAGTATTAGTGGGCAAGAAGAGAGTGGGAATCATGAATCAGAAAGATAAACCTAACTATATAAGGATCAAGTTCCTTCCATTCCTTAGACCTTAAGTTTTTGAATTACATATTCAAAACCACTCAAGAAATAATGATATAGCATATTTAAAGAAATGGAGGTAAATACCAAAGGAAACAGTTATAGGAATTGAAAGTGACTACTCGAAGGATTGAAAACCAGGGGCAGAGGAGTCAGGCATGTTAAAAAGCCTTGGCCTACTAACTGACTTTTCAAACCACAAAGATGTATTACTTGAAACAAAAATTAAGTGTAAAAGAAGATTAAGCTAGTGTTCTCAAAAAGAAAAAGTTCATCCACCCAGTGCTAACAGAGCCAAACACTGAACACTGAGAACTGTAGTGGAGAAAGACTGGCTAATTTATTATGAATGGCACCACCCAGGAGAATGGGAAGCTAATGCTCAAAAGGCTGAACTTCTTGATGGCTTCTAGGTATATATAAGGCAAAAATCACAAGACACTGGTGGGTTAGGGTTTCGGGTTCCTGTTGGGAGCTGATTGGTTAGAGGCAAGGGTAATAAATCATTTCTTAATGTCTTGAGGACAGCTCGGAGGTCTGCTCTGATGTCCCTGTCTGGTTTCATGGAAAAATAGCCAGGGATTCATTCCAGTTAGGGCTCATGAGCTGAAACATAACTACGGTCAAGATGTTATCTTTAGCTTAACAGAAATTCATACCTTGTGACCCTTAGTCAAGGTATGGCCATTGTTTCCGGATGCCTGAGGGGGTTAATGGCTAGTGAGGGAAAGGGCTAAGTCTTATAGGGCATGCTGTGAAGAAACTGAAGAATGCTGGGGCTATGTATTAAATCAAAACCATACATTATATCAGGACTCTTGGGTTCCACTATGAGTCACCCTCACGGTGTAAAAGTCTATCACAGAGAAACAGAATGGATTATTCCCTAATTTATGTTAAAAGCAAGCAAGCAAACAACAAAAAAACCCACTAGGACTTTCAGACGACTATAGGACTCAATATGACCACAATGTGAAGAGATTAGTCAGTTAAGTCAATACATTTTTAATGAGTGTCTACAGTATAATTCGAGTGGAAGTAAATAGACAATAAATTCATACATAAAAGGATTTCAGATTTTCATATAATAATGATAATAGAGAAACACGGCAAAGAACACTAGGAAAGGACAGGAGCATGTCTATTTTAGCTAGAGTGACCAGCAAAGGCCTCTAGGCGGAGAAGACATTTTAGTGAAATCTAAATGATAAGGAACCAGCCACGCCAAATTTAGAGGAAAAATATATTAGCCAGAAGGCAGAACAAATGGAACAAGCCTAGGACTGGAATGAATTTAATGTGTTCAAGGGACAGAAAGGTCAGTGTGGCTACAATATACAGAACCAGGAGTAGAATCTACAAGATAACTTCAGAAAGAGGAGAGTAAAAGGTTTAACAAAGGAATAGCTATAGTGCTAGATTATAGGGATGTAAGCTGGAAAAAGAGATGAGAGAAGTCAGAAAAAGTAAAAAAGATACCAATGACAGGAATAATTTTGCAAATAAAAGGGAGCCAGGTGTTAAGTGAATGAGGGGAATACGCTTCAAAGGAGTTAGGGATGGTGTTAGGGATTTTGAAGGAGAGAGTCGAAGGAGCAGCAGGAA